CTGAAGTAAACCAGAAAATTCTAGTACTAGTCAGGGTATCAAGAAAATGCTGCCATGTGTCATGACTTTTGTTTTAAAAAACCTTGGCCTCTGAACCCAGTATGAAGGGTACGGTGGTTTGGAGTTGGCAATGTGGGCTCTGGAGTTAAGCTGCTCAAGTTCAAATGCCTATTGTCCATACTCTAGTAAGATGATCTTGAGAAGATCATATTTACTTTCAGGTCCTTCAGTTGCCCCATTTGTATAGAAACCTGGCCCTTTTGTAAAGATTAACTGAGAGAATGCAAGTGTTAAGACCAGGACTGAAACGACTATGTATACATTGTTGTTGTTAGGTGCCATCAAGTTGTAGACGACTCATAGCGACCCTATGAACGAAAGGCCTGAGCACTCTTCATACATAGTTTCCGGAAGCAAGCCACTTCTGAAATGGATACCACTCCTGCTTCCAGGCTTGTTTTAGTCGGGAAGCTCCAGCATGTCCACCATGGGTACCCATTACCACGTTTGGCACATCAGTGTCACAAGTTAGCCACTTTTATATTCAAAAGTTAAGGTACTGAGAAGTTGACACATTTCTTCTCACTGGTCAGGCCCAATTAAGGTGCTGAACGCATTCCAGAGGGCAGCACTAAAGGAAATGTCTCAAATCAGGATCTTTAAATTGTTTTCTATCTGATTTTAGTTTTGAAATGAAACTCAAATTAAGAAGGGCGTTAAATAAGGACAAAATGAAGGACAAACTTCTTCCAGATTACTTCTTTGGTGTTACTTACAGTATTCAGCTCCAGTAGTCAGGGAAAGCTTGCAACAGAGAAAGGGAAAATAAAGCTCAGTGACTCTCTCTTGGGACATTTCAAGTGCTGGGTTAGATTCTCCTGTCATGTTTCTGGTAAGACTAATAATTCATACTGAACTTTATTTCTATTTGTACCAGGTTGCCAAAATGTTATTTAGGTTAAACAAAGTTGTTTTCTCTTGAAATACTCAAGTGTTTTTCATTGGCAGTATATAGAGTCTTTCTGTGGTGAAACAACTACTATGGAAATATGTTCAGCATATGTTGTTATTGTTATGTGCCATGGAGTTGCCTGCGACTCACAGCGACCCTATGTACAACAGCCCCATAGTAAAAAGAATCAGGCCAAAACTGTTTAAAACATGTGACATTTAATAAACCTATTGACTAAGAAGGGAGCTCAAGTGGTCTAATGGGTAAAGAGTTGCACCTGAGATCCTAAAGGCACATGGGTCAAATCCACCGGCTGCCCAGTAGGAAAAAGATTCCCAATATCCTCTGCTATTTATTGCCCCTGAAAATCTGTTGGGTGCCAGTTATAATTTGGTTTTGACTCCAAAGGAATGGGTTTCAGAGGTTTTTTTATAATCTAAGAGGGAGTGCTGGTGGCCTAATCCACAGGGAGCTGAGTTGTGCTGTTAACCCAAATGCACTCTGGTGGTCTGCACCCAGCCGCAGCTACTTAGGAGAAAGATGGGCAATCTCCTCCCATGCGATTTACAGCCTCGGAGACCCAAAGGATGGTCAGCGGTGACTTGGTTCTGACTCTTCAGCAATGAGTTGGGTTTTTTAAATTGACTAAGTAGGAGCCCTGGTGGCACTTCGGTTAAGCATTCAACTGCCATCTAAAAGTTGGCAATCTGAGAACCTTTCTATGGGAGAAAAGTAAGGGACTGTGTTTCCACAAAGACTCTGAAATCTTGAATCTTTCTGTGGTGAAACGAGACTGTGTGGAAACCTCACAGGGCAGTTCTACCCTGTACTATCATGCTACTATGACAGCAGTGGGTTTTTATTTGATTAAGCGGGTAAGTGGAATTATCCTGGAGTCTGAAATTAGTCCAAGTCTTTTGAGGACTAACTGACTGCTCTATCCTTTCTAGGGAGATGGCCACTAGTGTTGTGGTTTTAATATGTCATTCCAGGTGGTTGTTGATGTTTCAGTATTTCTCTAAGTTGTGGAGTTTTCATTAATATTTTCAAAGTTAAAAAACATACCCAGGAAACCAAATTGGGAAGACTCTTTTTTTTTTAATAGAATCCAAGTTTACACATGGTCAATTACTAAAAAGCTCAGTTGCAATAACTCCTTAACACCATTAGCAGGAACTCACAAGAGCCAAACTATGGCTTTTCTCCATTCATTATTTCATGTCACATTTAAGAACATGGATCAATTTACATAAAGCACAATTACATACACTTAAATATTGTACATACACTGTCAAAAGTGTACTGTACACATTAACATTGAAAAATAACAGCTCTACTGTTTATTGCACCCAGAATACTAATTTAAGTACATTTTCTCTGAGGATCAAATGGAATGTATGGGAGGCATTCTGGTTTCTTTTACCCCTTTCCGCAGGCTGTATAATTTTGTTTAAAATTATAAACCTTTGTGTCCCTGGTTAGATTTACTTCTAGGACCTTTATCTTAGATGCCATTGTAAATTGAAATGTTTCCCTAATTTCTTTTTGAGATTTTTCATAGATGGTATATAGAAACTCCACTGATTTCTTTGTTGACTTTTACTCTGCAACTTTGCTAAATTCTTCTCTAGCCCTAGAAATGTTGTGATGGACCATTTATGTATGTAATTGTCTATCTGTATCTGCAAAGTGCTCATTTGACTTCTTCTCCAGTCTAGACTTATTGCACAGGCTAGGACTTCTGATACAATATTGACCGGAAATGATTCTTGTTTTCAATTTCAAACAACAATAGATGCTAGATTTTAATATATGCCTTAAAATATACTGAGGAGTTTATGTGACTGTTTTAAACACTTTAAAGTAATATTCATATGGAATTATGGAGTGTCATTTAATTATGGAAAAAACTTCCCACCCCAGCATGTGTTAAATATAATTTTTAAAAGAATACTAGCAGCTTTTACTTGGGTTCTAAATATCTGTGAATCTGAAATTGAATGGATTCACACAGATTCAGGAAAAATGTAAATGTTACTCTAATCTTTACAAAGAATTTGTCAATTTGACAATCATCTACTAGAAATGAAAGCTTAAGATGCCAGTCCTCAGTATCTTTGAGGAGTTCCCCTGTGACTAATTTGGGGTATGTATAAGGGGTGGATCAATGGAGGAACTGTCTGGGGACTCATCAGTCATGAGTCTGTTCTACAATAATTTGAGGGACTGAGATAGGTATGGTCAGTGAAACATAGTGGATTGCTGCTGGAGACAACTCGTTCCAGACTGCATTTTTTAAAAGTTTTTATTGTGGTCTGCATTTTCCACTTCATGCAAAATACCAGTTAAAATGCTTATGGTTGCCCAGATGAACAGAGAATATAAAACAACCAGAACTTGGAAGGAAAGTTATAAAAATGAGCAATGTAAAAAAAAATGAGCAATGTCATTTCTATTTTCTAAGTCAATGGTTATAAAAAACTAGATTATTTATGACTACCAGACAAGTGTGGTTTGGCTGGCCTGATGTTTAAGGAGTTGGCTGCCAACACAAAGGCAAGCAGTTCTAATCCATCAGCTGCTCTGTGGAGAAAGATGGTCAATCACCTACTCTAAGATTTATCCGCACAGAGGAGAGTCAGCTCAACAGCACAAAACAGCAGCGAATCAGTCTCGGGCTTCACATGTAAAAATATCATAAGAGGCTGAAATATGTTGCAGCTTCACACTAAAAACTCTCATTTCCTTTTACTCCAGAGCTCCACCATCTGGTCTCAAAAGGTTTTTTCCTATAATGGAACAGCTGAAGAGAGGTAAGCCAGTTCAAGCTTGCTGAGAAAGAGCTTGGTCAATAGCTTCCAAGATTGCCTTGCAAGTCATCTTGGACAAGAAGCAGTGCGATGCCTCAGGAAAAAGCCATGATTCTGCTGAGAGGTGGCCTTCTGGAGGAAAACAGATGGCTCTTCTCTTTTGGAGTTTTTTCTTCTTCCATGCCTCCAAAGTCTCAGGAAAATATCAGTTCATGAACCTTGTCCTTTCTATCACCACCCTCTCTATAAGAGGAAGGTGAAGGTTTTATAACTCTATAGCCTAAGACTAAATATTAGGAAGGCTTTATACTAACATGAGTGTTATTAAAATCAGGATCCTCAAAGAAACCTTTTTAAGGTTTCATTTTCTGAAGAACATCTTCAGAAGGTCATTAGTAAGCACCACTACAGGTCTATTTATCTATTTTCCACCTTTTTTTCTTCTTAGTAGCTCTGGTGACAAAGTGTGTCACATTTTGCACTGTTAACTAAAAGATCAGCAGTTCCAATCCACCAGCAGCTCTGCAGGACAAAGATGGGCAGTCCCTATTAAAAAAAATACTGCCAAGGAAACTCAGTGGAGGGGTACAATAGTTAGAATTCAAAATGAGTTTGATTTTGGCTACTCTTCCTTAACCTCTATTAACTCTCACTGAGAAATCTAAAGTGGAAAAAAGTTTTAAAAGATTCCTAAGACTGAAAGAGGTAGATGTCTTTTAGTTTTATATTTAATATAACTGAAACTAGACTTGCTGAGATTTTCTATTTCCTCTTTACATAAGTGAAAAGGTATGCAAAAGAAAAGTCAATTTTTTAAAGTGTACCACTTATAAAATCTGCATATCCATACTGTAGTTAATAATGTGAAAATTTTATTACACATTTCCATATATGATTTTTTAAACATGTAGACTGGTCAAGAATCATGCACACAAGATTCTCTCCCAAGGACAAAACAAGCTGGCCTTTGAGCAGCTAATTAAAGAATTTAGTGTTAGAACGATAGCAGCAAATGTCAGCTTTTTCAATGATCCTACCTAATCCAGTTCTCAGGTTAAGAGAGGAAGAAAAGTACCATCTTTCCAAGTGTATGAAACAGTCTCACAACAAACAGCTCAGTCCTAAGTGATCTCTGTGCAACAGCACATACTTTTGGCTACGTTCACACAGTAAACCATAGAAACACACTGGCTCTGATGGCTACTTGCAGAAGAAAGACAAACTGATCCAGTCAGTGTTTACTTAATATAGCCACTGGTGACTTCTTCGGACAGCAGGACGTTATTGACGCTTACCGTGTGCCCACAGTCCAGGAAGGACAAGCCAAGAACAATCAAACATTGCCAGCCCTGAAAGACAAAATATGGTCATTATTCATGCAGCCTCTCTCGATCCCTTGCCCACAGTGACTGTTCGTGTTGCACTGCTCGTAGGCAAGCCTGCCCCATTCCTTTAACATCTAGTTTGACTACTCCCACCATCAAGTGGTATAACCACAAGTTATTGTCCCAGTTCTACTCCCTTTAAAAACATCATAACCCCAGCTGTCCTCCATGGCTTTTCCATACCATTTTCAGTACTGATTAACAAAGTTCTATCTGATTGTTCCTACTGCTTTGTGTTTGTGGTTTGTTTCCTTTAGCAGATGGCCATTACCAGCATATTACTTTTCCTTTAGTACTTTTCACCATTAAGGGTGTTAAGACCAGAGAAATGACTAACAGAACTGAAATGGTCTGCTGAACTAAGAGGCCTATCTTAGAACTAAACAAAAGTAACCCAATTCTAGAATCAGCTGTTGGCCCTAAAAGTGAGTCTTAATCTTACTGTCATGCCCAATATGAGGGCAAACTGGCACCTTTACAACCAACTGTCATGAAGGAAGCATATTCCTAATATCTATACTATATTTTTAGGAGAGTTCTTATCAAGGACATACTCTGTTAGTTGGGTTTCCAGGAAGTCCCTAGATAAATAGGGTCAGCATGATGTTAGCATGCCCAAGGTTTATTGTGTTGTTTATTGTGCTATCGAGAACAATTCATTGTGACCCTATGAACAACAGATCTGAACTTCATTCTATTCTGTGCTAACCAGAAAATCTCTCAGACTCTCAAGTCCATTGCTGCAGGTGCTGTGTTAATTCACCTGATTAAGGGTCGTCTTCTCTTTTACCAACCTCTTAACCATTCCAAGTATGATGGTCCTCTCCAAGAATTAGCCTCTCCTAGCAACATGCTCAAAATATATGAGACATAGCTTTATTATCTTTGCCTCCCAAGAGCATCTGGTTGCACTGTCTCTGAGACTTATCTGTTCTTTTGGTAGTCCATGAGATATTCAGCACTATTCCCAACACCACACAGTTCAAAGGCATCAATTTTTCTGTCATCTTTAGTCACTGTCTTGCTCTCAAATGCGCAAGTCACTGAAAAGTTCATGTCCTGAATCAAGTGCACCTTACTCCTCAAAGTGACATTGCTCCTTAATAATTTGGAAAGATCCCTGACTAGACTTTTCCAGTGTAATACGTCTTCTGATTTCCTGATTGCTAGTACCAAGTGTACTGATGGTGGATCCAAGAAAGATGAAGTAATTTATTATTAGTCTCAATCTTTTCTCCATCTATCATGATGTTGCCTATCAGTCTGGTGGCATTTGTTTTCTTGATGTTGAGATGCAATCCATATTGAAAGCTGCAGTATTTAACCTTCTGCAAGTGCTTCAAGTCATCTACTCTCAGCAAGCAAGGTTAACTCACCCGCACAGTGAAGGTTATTGATGAGTCTTCCTCTGATCCTGATGCCACATTCTTCTTCAGAGAGTCCAGCTTTTTGAATGGTTTACTCAGCACACAGATTAAATAGGTATGGAGAAAGCATATAATCTTGATGCACACCTTTCCTGATTTTAAACCATGCAGGGTTCCCTAGCTCTGTTAATACAACAGCCTTTCTGTCTAAGTATATAGCTTTCACATGAACACAATTAAGTGCTCTGGAACCCCCATTCTTCTCAATGTTAGTCATTAATTTTGTTGCTATCCCCACAGTCAAATGCCTTTGCATAGTCAATAAAGCACAAACAGATATTCTTCTGATATTCTTTACTTTCAGCCAGGCTCCATCTGACATCAGCAATGATATCCCAGTGCCACAACCTCTTCTAAATCCAGATTGAACATCTGGCAGTTCCCTGTTTATGTATGGTTTTAGCCGTTTTTAAACAATCTTCAGCAGTATTTTGTTTGCATGTTATACTAATGACATTGTTCAGTAATTTCTACATTCTGCTGGATCATCTTGAGAATAGAATAAGCATGGATATCTTCCACTCAGTTGGCCAGACAGCTGTCTTCCATATTTCCTGGCAGAGACTGGTGAACACGTTCAGGGCTACACTGTCATTTGAAATATGTTAACTGGTATCCCACTGATTCCTGCTGCCTTATTTTTTGGCAATGTCTTCAGTGCATCTTGAACTTCTTCCTTCATTACCACTGGTTCTTGATCATATGGTACATCCTGAAATATTTCAGTGTCAGCCAATTTTATTTACTCAAGGTCTATTAGGGAAGATCAAAGAAGGACTGTAAATTTCAATACCCACTAACATGATTTGCTCAACCAGATACTTAGCCTGTGGCATATTAGCATGGGACTGGCTAAGTACTCACAAGATTAATAACAAGGTTCTAGCTTCCATCCTTCAGGACAGGATGTTGTGTTTTCTGCAGGGGATTATGGCATAAATTCTTCTGATACTCATTTCCAATATTTTTGTTTTTAGAGAAACTTGCACAGAATAGAAAGGTAGACTTGCTCACTTCTACTATAGCTTGTTCATAATAATATACAATTTAGGGATGGGGAGAAAATCTGAAATGAATATCTTGAAAACCTCATCTCCCTAAAATAACTACTGTCATTTTTATAAATTTACTCTAAATTTTAAAATTGTGTTTTTATAATCTACTAAAATCTGGGTATTAATAATTTTATATATATTTTCAATGTTAAGTTTTTTTATAACCATTCTTTTAAAATGACTATAAGTCACACGGTAGCTTTGGTGGTCTAGTGGTAAGAAGCTGTGCTGCAATCTTGAAGGCATACAGTTTGAATTCTCCAACTGTTCCATGGAAGAAGGGCAAGCAATCTTCTCCTGTGCGAATAAGGGCCAACTATGGGTCAGTTCTGACTCAATAGCACACAACAACAAATAAGGTGTCTACAAAGAGAAAATTACTTATTTCCTTAAAGGACAACTAGTAAGTAGTGGTGCTTGGCTGCAAAGCCACACGTGTCCTGCCCTGGAGCTATGACTCTGAGTGCTCTCTTTTCAAGCTCCACTTCACACAGCTCTCTACCTTCTCTTTAATCTGTGTACTGTTGCCTTTCTCTTAGTTCTTCTAAGAACAATTTATTTCAGCAATTAATTCTTTGTTGTTAAGAATTAATAAGACCATAAACCAAACGCAATGATAAAAATAGAAAATAGGCTTTAGTAACTAAGACAAATTTTACTGTCAGAAATACTGATTCATAAATAGGTAATAATAATTCCTGATACTTTCATATAAATTGTCTGATAACTTGGAAGACAGGCTGCATGCTCTTTTGGGTTCCTTCATTTCTGAATTTTGGCCCATCTCCACCATCTCCCTTCTCAATACTGTGCTCTTATCGCCCCCAAACTCAACTTACCAAGTAGAATACAAAGCACAGATAAGCCACGCTCAATACAGCAGCCACCACATACAAAGCTATATGCCCTAGATCCTGGACATAAGCCACAACAAAATACATGTTGATGGAACAGATAAGAAGGACCAAGATTCCACCTGCAATCCTCCAGCCTCTGTAAAACAACCAGCACAGTCAAGTGAAATAACAGTGCAGCTCATAAGGAGGCATCAAAATGGTTCATCTAGCCCAGATTAGGTAAGTAAGACAGTTATTTACTAACAGTTTGGGGGGGAAGCCACCCCAAATCTTACAAACTTTAAAAGTATATTTAAAAATTATTAACTTCAAGCATATGGAGTCTACATTAATTTCATACAAAAATATTAGTCTTTGCACTTAGTTTCTGACAGATAACTTCTCATTTCCTCAGTAATCAAAGCTGTATTTAATAAGGGCTCCAGATTTAATGGATTCTATGCTAATAAGAGAATGGGAGCTGATCGGGTCAGAAAGACACACTATTCTGTCAATGTCATGATTACCTAGTGATATCAGAGGAGAGGAGCTAGAATTTTAATTACATGAGACCTCTAATAGAAACTGGATGAAGAAGCTTCATGGTCATGTGTTTAGTGTTAAGACATTCATTCAGGTAAGGAAGCTCCGCACTGCAAAGCCTCCCAGATCCTACCCTATGAACATCTTTGTTAGTCTGAGGCTAATTTTCACTTTTTATGGTAAAGCTACAATTTAAGTATAATGTTGTCTATGCATACTGTGAGCCATGTTAGCATAGTATCAAACTCAAGAAAGTATAGAACTCAGTAGATCAGAAGTAGTGGAAGCCCTGAGGAGCCCAACAAGTGGCTGGTATCTTATATCTAACTGGCATTATGGAGGACTACATCCTTTAATTAATAAAGTCTAACCTAGATCAGTGGTTAGGACCAGAGGAAGAAAAGTTGCATTTGCAGCTGCTATCAAAATAGAAGGGACAAGAAGGTAAAAAGTGGGGATTTGAGATATCTTCACAATGCCTTTCTCAGAGACTGAAGAGTTAGAGCCCTAAAAGGCAAACTTCTTTCCCCCAGAAATAAAACAAAAAAAGAAAAATGTACTTTCCCACCATTATTACTTTTACTCTCCACTTTCTAAGCCAAGGATTTGGAAAGCAGTTCTAGCAATCACTTCTCAAAACATGTAATTCCTCTATCTGACTCATTGGCTTGATAAAGACTCTCTCCCTACACATCTCCATTTCCTCTGGGAAACTGAGAAGAGTATACTTACAGCCCATTGACAAACTCATTCATTACTGGCCTTGAGCTTGTAAATGTGAGGATGGGGATGAGAGCAAAAGGAAGCTGGAAGAGAGAAGTAAGATCAAAGTGGTCAGTGGGGGCCCTGTATTACCCTACAAAGCAACAGTTAGCCAAAGGCAAGCACAGGCTCTGCCCCATTAACTCCATGAGAAATAATTATCCCTCTCAACCCACATCATTCTGAAATCTTGAAATCTGGAGTGCTGTCATTAAGCTAGTACTAATTACAATAATAAGTGTCTTTACAAATATTTGCTCTGTCTGTATTTGCTTTGTCCTTATTTATTTCCTTTGTCTTCTTTACCTTCACCTATCTGGTACAGTGTCCCCTATGTTTACATAATAAATATTTGCTTGGATTAACAATTAACACATTGTTTTTATTATTTAATGCTTGTTCCTCTCACATAACAATGGCCTGAGTATGGCAGAAATCTTTAAGATGGCGCAAGATAGGGCAAGGTTTCAAGCTGTTGCTCATAGGATGGCTAGGAGTCACAGTTGACTTGACACTACCTAAAAACAAATAACAATTTTCATGCAACAGGTTTAAAACCTCAAGCCATTTCTAAAATCTTTTGTTTTTAGATGCCAGAAGTTTCACTATTACAGACCATGATTATGCTTCATTCCTCTTAACTGTCACGCTGCTGAATAAATACAGTTCCCCAGCTCCCTCCTCACCTGTAAGCTCATCAGCACATTCAGGAAGTCATTCATTCCTGTCAGATGTTCTACGTCTTGGAAGACAGCAACAAGCAGAGTGGGGACGATGGCAATAGAGCGAGTGAGAACCACTCGGGCAAAGCGTGACCACCTTAGGTTGAGGAATCCCTGGAAGAAAACACAGGACAGGGTCAATGTCTAGAAAAGGAAACATAAAAAGGTTTGGGGAGGTTGAGGAGAGCTCTTGGTATGGGATTAAGAAGTGGTCACAAAAGGGTTATGTCCTCTCCTATTCTGCATCAATGTAAACAGTACATACCTCCATGACAAACTGGCCAGAATATGTTCCTGTCATGGTAGAGCTTTGTCCTGCAGCCAAAATCCCCACAGCCCAGATGTAGAGTGCAGCAGGCCCAAAATAACATCCCAGCACAACACCCTGGATTAATAGGAGAGAAAAGAATGTTTGCATCAATGATTTGCTTAGACATTTAGGAATCCTGAGTTTGATTTCTCTGTGGCAGCTTCCTCTTCATTATGCACCCTCTCCAACAAAAGCTAAGGAACCCTTGTGGCAAAGGGTTAACCATTCCGCTGCTAAACAAGGTGAGCAGTTCAAACCTACCTGTCACTCCAGGGCAGAAAGATGCTGCAATCTGTTCCCATGAAGATGGAAGCATCAGAAATGTTTTGTACTATAGCATCGTCAAGTCAGGATCAACCACACAGCAACATTTTTTTGTTTTTTGGTAAACCAAGTGCTATGCTAAACTAGTATCAGCCTCTCTCATGGAAGAGGTTTTCACTTTCAATTCTCCTGGGCAACTCTTCACTCCTCATCCTAGTCCTTTCTCCAAGTTTCTTATTTTTTTAATTTTTTGTGCATGTACCATCAAATCAGATCTGACTGGTACAGGAGGAGATTGTTCCTCCTTCTCCGGCGGAGCATCTGGTGGATTCGAACCTCACGCCTCTGGGATTGCAGTGCAGCTTCTTGCCACTAGGCCACCAGAGCTCCCTCTCCAAGTTTTTAATGTCATCTTTCTAACCTATGCTTTAAATATTGTGGAAGGGAGTGAGAAAAGAAAAGGATGCCATCAAGTCAACTTTAACAACAACGCTAAGATAAAAGATCAGAACCTTGCTCTATCCTGTGCTATCCTCACCATCTGCCATGTTCACACTCACTGCTGCAGTCCCTGTAGCAATCCATCTCATTAAGGGGTTTTCTCTCTTTTTCTGACCCTCCACCTTTCCCAGCATGATGTTTTTTCCAAGTCCTATAGTCCCTCCTGACAAGCTCAAAATATGTGAGATGAAGTTTCACCATCCTTGTTTCTAAGGTGCACCATGGCTGTATTTCCTACAAGACAGACTTGTTTGTTCTTTTGGGAGTCCAAGGGATATTCAGTACTCTAACACAATTCAAAGGCATCAATTGTTCTTTTGTCATCCTTAGTCATTGTCCAGTTTTCAGATGCAGACAAAGGAACAGAAATGGCCATCCTTGCTCTTTAGCACTTTGAGAAGTCCTTGACAGCAGATTTCACCAATGCAACACATCTTTTGATTTCCTGATTGTTGCTACTATGGGTGTTAATTGTGGATCCAAGTAAAATGAAATCATTGACAAGTTCAATCTTTATCTATCTATTATGATGGTGTCTATTGACTCAAAGGTGAGGATGTCTGTTTTCTTGATATAACATGTTGTGGTGATTTTCTATCTATTATGGTAGGCCCAGCTGGGGCATGGTCTCTAGCTTCCTCAACTGTGGACACAGGGTCTTGCAAATCATCAACAGCTATAAGAGAGCACTTCCCACACTGTGGAGAGACTGTGGCAAGGTATAGCCTGGCAGAAACCTGGAGATGGAGCCAAAATTAAAGGTTTTGCCTCTGGACAAATGAAGAGCTGACTTGTGACTACTATGAGACAAAGCGTGCTGGGTGAATACAGATTTTCACTTATTGACTGAGAAGCTGTCTGAACTAACTGAGGACTTGTGTCTTGGTGTTATTCTGTCTCAGGGCTGCTGTTCACTAAGCCCAGACTTTAATTATGTGATATCCTTACTCTCCCTCAACCTATTTCCCTAATAAATCCCACAACTGTGAGTAAAGTCTGTAAGTCAATGTGCAATGAACATTAGACCCAATGATTCACAGAAATATCAGCAGGAGCATGTGGAGGTGGCATTTCTTACCATGTAGCTATTTGTTTGGTACCATGGATATGATTGATAGACACCGTTCTTTATGAAGCAGACAGAAGTCAGACTCAGCTTACTTCATGTTACCACTGCTCCTTATACACATGTAACCCATACTGAAGGCTGTGTAGTCTTTGATCTTCTGCAGCAAATGTTTCAAATTATCTACACTCTCAGCAGGCAAGGTTGTGTCATCTGCATAATGCAAGTCTGTTGATAAGTCTTCCAATCCTGATGACACGTTCTTCTTCATGAAGTCCAACATGTCAAGTTATTTGCTCAGCATATAGATTGAATAATTATAAAGAAAGGATACAATCCTGAGGCATACCTTTCCTCATTTAAAACCATGCAGGTTTCCTTACTCCTTCAGATAACAGCTTTTCGGTCTATGCATAGGTTTGGCATAAGCATAATTAAGTGTTTTGAGATTCCCATTCTTTGTGTTACTCAGAATTTGTTATGACCTATATAGTCAGGTACCTTTGCACACTCAGTAAAATACAAGTATCATTTTAACATTCTCTGCTTTCAGTCAAGGTCCATCTGACATCAACAATACTATCTCTCTGGTACAACCACTGTGGAAGGTGGTATGACACTTTCTCAAGAAGTTACCAATAGAGATACCATAAGAGACCATAACTGACATCCAAGCAGATATATGCATACCCATGTTTATTGTGGTTTTGTTCACAATAGCAAGAAGTTGGAAACAACCTAAGTGCCCATCAACAAACGAATGGATAGAGAAGCTCTGGTATATTCACACAATGGAATACTATGCTGCATTAAAAAACAAGGAACTCATCATGCAAGAGTATTCAAAATGGGTGACTCTGGAGGACATTATGCTGAGTGAAGTATCTCAGTCACAAAAGACAAATACTGCATGGTGCCACTGTTGTAAAACAGGACTGAACTTGGGGTTGGGGAGAGACTGAGAAAGATGGGTTCAATAATGTATACTGCGTTGAAACAGATGAGGGAGAAAACTATTTAAAATGGATATGCGATTAGGTATTTTTGTCATGACAGGAGTCTAGAGTGAAGTCTACATGGTGGAGTGGACCTGGGGGAGGGTTTGTAAAACAATGAAAGAATTTGTCTTTTACTTTTCCAAGAGGGTAGTATATTAGGGGGGAGGGTTGGGAAGGGAGAAAAGTGCAACAATGAATGAATGGAAATCCAAAGTCTCTGTAAATTTTTACTGAAATGAATAATAAATTTAAATTTAAAAAACAAACAAACAAACAAACAAAAAAACCCAATATTATCTCTCTGGCCACCACTCAAAGCAAAGCTAATAGGACAACAGAATTGCCTCATAGGGTTTTCCAGAAACTTGTCCACTACTTTACCCCCACCTCCTCAAGAGCTTCTCAGTGAGTTTGAGTTATTAACAAGTTAGAAGCCAAGTGCTTAAATAATAAGCCATGAGCTTCTCTAAGAAACACTACATAGTAGATATTCTGCTTTGGATTTTTTAATTAGTACAAAAGGACTAAAGAAGCCTTGTAAAACATAGCTAACTAAAAATCCTTTCTTTAGAAGCACCCCACTAACATCCCATAGAATAGTATTTTATCATCTCTGGTCTTAGAATTGTTAGTGTATACAATTAATCTTTAATTTGATGATCCTTTAATTTTCTTACCAAGTTTCTCAAAATTCTTGTTTGACATATCTAGATCTCGCAAATAAATTACATTCTGGCAGAGATATGCTCAATACTGACATAAAACTATAAAACAGTTACATGAATGTAGCTTGGAAGCAACGTTTACAAATCAGAATATACTTACTTACCCCTTTGTAAATGTCCACAGTCAGTGTTGAATTATCATGAGGGAATATGGTATTAATCCAGGAAATGCTGCTGTTTTCACAGGTTTGAGCCTAGAATGCAAAGAAGTTTAAGAGATACTTTTATTTCAGGAACAAAGATCAGGTAAGAAGATCTCTGTTAAAGATCACACACTAACTAATGAAGGAATATTTTTTTTCTTTTTCTTTTCGGAGAGGGGAGCGAACTGGTGGGGAGGGGTGGGCAGGGAGAAAAGTGCGGCAATGAATGAATGAATGGAAATCCAAAACCTCTGTATATGTTTATTAAAATTAATAAAAAAGGAAAAAAACCCCAAAAAACAACAACAGTAAAAAAAAAAAAGCAAGGTTGTGACATCTGCATAACACAGATTACTGATGAGTCTTCCTCCAATTAAAAAAAAAAAAAAAAAAGACCACATACCAGCTATCTATGTAAAACAGGGTAAATATATGTAAAAAATTTGGTACAGATTATGATCTGAGCAGAGACCGGCAGAAGTAACATTTGTGGTCGCTCTCTATATTTCTTCATTCCTCCAGGCCATCCAAAAGATTTCCTCAATTTTAATGTATGAGATTAAATAGGTCATTTTAAACATAAACATGTACATAGGTCATTTTAAACAAGGACAAACATGAGGTCCTTCAAATATAGACTCTCAGAAAAAGTACAAACAAAAGTCAGAGGTTCTAAAGTTGGAAAACAAGTAATGGTCCAAATTAGACAATCTTAATGAATGTTGAATGAACCTTGGAAACAATGATAAGCAAAATTAGTTTTGAGAAGACAATACTGTATGGTCTCAATTACATAAAATAAGCAAATATATACCCAAACTAAAATTCTTGGCACTGAGTCATTGCCAACTCTTAGTGACCATATAGGGGGGAGACCTGCATCATGGTATTTCCAAGGTTATACATCTTTACAGCAGAAGACTGTTCTATCTTTCTTCCTTGGAGCAGCTGTTAAGTTTGACCTTTCACCTAGCATCCACATGCTTTCGTCACCATGGTTTCTTAATATATAAAGACAAAAAATTTAGCAGTGATCAGGGAAGGAAAAATGGGAGCTTTCTGTTTAGGGAATGGTGACTTTTTGTTGTTAGGTGGCTCCAAATCATAGTGATCCCATGGACAACAGAACAAAACCCTGCCCAATTCTGTATCCTCCTCACAATCTCTAGGATTGTGCTGCAATCACTGTGTCAGTCCATCTCATTGATGGTCCTTCTCTACATCACAGAACTTCTACTTTTCCAAGGAATGGCCGAGAACTGTCCGAGGACTGGGCCCTACCGATAACATGACCTAAGTATGTGAGATGGGAAACGCACCATTACTGCTTCTAAAGAACATTCTAGCTGCATTTTTTCCAAGATATATGTGTTTGTCCTTTTGTCAGTCCATTCAGTATTCTTTGCTACTATTTGCTAAACAATTCAATTCAACTCATTGCTGTGGACTTGGACTCATAAACGGATCCTCCAGTGAGTTTTCAGGAGCTGTAAACTGCATTGGAGGAAAGTGCCCATCTGTCTCTGGTTGAATAGTGGATTCTGGTGGATTCAAACTGCCTGCCTTAGGGTTAACAGCACAACTTCTTACTTACTAGGCCTCTAGAGCTCCCTGAACAATAATGGAATAATTTGGAAAGGGCTAGCAAAAATGGCTGCATAGTTTATTAAAGATTCCTAGTGTCACTGAATTACACATGCAGAAGTTGAATTGGTGTGCTTTTGGTTCTGTGTATTTTCAGAACATAACAACAAAAATAAAAAACAAAATTAAACTAATCAGGAATTAAGAGGTACAGGATTCAAAATGATAAAATTAAAAAAGGCTAAATAGTAAAATGTGTATAAAGTTCCAAGTGGGGGAGGGGAGAGAATAGAGGGGTAAGGGTGGGCAGGGGGAAAATCACACGGTCTCACAATTTGGTGAGGGGAGGGCGTGGGGGGGTGAAAAAAATGGGAAAGATCCAGCAGGGACCTGAAAAGGTGAGGTAATGGTGGGTACAGTTAAATGGTGACTGACTTTTTAAAGTACAATGTATGGGAATGTTAATATGAAACACACTGTATATAAATTTTATATGCAAACCAATATAAAAGAATTTTTTTTTAAAAAAAAGGTCTATTGTCTTAGTTATATTGTTGTTAGGTATCATTAAATTAGAACTGACCCATAGCTAACCCTCAAGAGGGTTTTTCTTAGGCAGTAAATCACATGGGAGGAGATTGCCAGGTAGTGGTGGATTTGAACCTCATGCCTTCAAGTTGGCAACGCAGCTTCTTGCCACTAGGCCACCAGAGCTCCCTCTAATAAAGATACAACATGTTCCATTTTTGTAATACAAATGAGGTACCTTGAAAGATAAGAGATGTTACAGGCCACACCCTAGAGAAATTTCCCCCACATTAATCAGGGCTGTGATGGGATTAAGGGGTGTTATATTCCATCTGTTTTACAACTACTTGGTTTATTAGATCATGGGGGATCACTAAAGATTCCATATTGTATCATTATATGAGTATGTTGGGGAACACAACTGAATCCAAGACACGCAGTGTGTTGTTCTACTCTATGTACAGAGAAGAGAAAGTACGTATACAGGATGACTATGATTTGGAACTGACTTCACAGCACCTAACAATGCTGAACTCCGAGTTACTTTTCTTTTTTTCCCCACCCTTTTCGGTCTTCACTTTATCCTCTCTACTTCCCCAAACCACACATGATCAGCCACATAGGTATACTTACCACTTGGCCATTGGTTTTTCCAAAAAATGCTTCAGCAAAGACTGAGACAACAAAGATGTTGATTATGAAGGAAACAAAGAGAGCGATGCAAGATTCCACAAAAAAGTACTTGTTGGCTTCTCGAACCTCTTGCTTATTGGCCCGGTTGACCTGTCTGGACTAGGGAAGGAAAAAAAAAACCATCTAAAATCATTATTTTGACCAGTTATACATTTTCCTATAACACTTGATGCATGAGTATGGAATCAGCTGAAAAATTTCAGAGGATAAACAACTGATCAGATAAAAGCAAAATATCCAACACTCATTTATGATCCTCTGCAGACACTGCTCAGTCCCTAAACCAGAACTGTGACTGACCCCTGAGCGCTCACAGCTGTTGTGAATGGAATGACCACTGACCTACAAAAAGAAAATCAGGACTTCAACTCCAAGAGTTACATGTTCAAACCTGTGAGAACTAGAACTCAACAGGCCTTGCTTTTCTGGGCCTCAAAAGGTTTTCTGCTTTGACACGGTGCAGTCTCTACTTTTCTATCACTCCTTTGAGTTGAAAACATTTGCATTTTCCTTTTCTGTCAGTTTTGCACCCTATCAGACCCTATCAAAAGCTTTCTTTGTCTTTATGGGTTTCATATAAATGATAAAGCTTTCTCATATTTCCCTGCAAACTACCATGTAAGACTGACTGGGAAATGCTTGCTTGGGCTTTTCACTTCTAACCTGCAGAAAAGATTTTTGAGATTTAAACAGTAGAAAGGTTGGAAAACACTTTTAGCCTTTTTTTTTTCCTACTTCAGTTACAATTTCTCTTTGGGGTCAGAAATCTCTGATTAACCTTGTGTAGTCCAAGTGCATTGATTTATTAACATCAAGCCTTGAAAGAATATCTTGCTTCTTTAGTTTGTATTCCTTGCAATTAAAGAAGACATTCCATGAGCAATCTATGAGGTCACTGAGATTAGGGGCTTTGCTCACCTTGACTAAGGCAGAATGCAGGTACATATTATGTGGCATGATGATAGCTCCCACGATGCCCACAGCCTGCTGGATCTGTGAGATGTTACAGCCTGAACAGGATGGCACGAACAGGCCCCTGAGTACCTGGGTCTGGCTCGGTTTCACTGTAATATACTACATATCAATATAAGAACTATTAGTATTACTGGACCATGAGACCAGGGGAGTAACATAGCACTAGGGAACATCTTTTGAAACTGACTCAGATGACCCTCCAGGGAAGTTTCAGAGGCAGTAAACTGCACTGGAGGAGGCTGCATATCTTTCTCCTGCACAGGAGTTGACTCAAACCAAGTGCCTTTGGTTTGGCAGTGCCAATTCTTTCCCCCTAGGCCATTAGAGCTCCCTAAAGGAACAGCTAGTAACTAGTATCCTTTATTCCTTACATCTCTTTTTTCAAACACTACCTAGCATAATGCGAAATACAGAATCATTTGGAAAAGACCAACAAAACCAGACCATATATGAGGCTTATTGCTAGAAGTCAGAGAATTACACACATGACTGAGACATCTGGAAATTTTATAGAAAACTTAAGATATAAAAAACATATGCATGTGCACAGAATATAATTCTGTTCATATGTGTTTATGACCAGAAAATCACTTATGTTTGCCATCAGAATATAGTTAGAGACTCATTCATACTTCCTCAACCTGGTCCAGTATTTTTTTCCTAAAGCTTTAAACCAAGCTAGATAATCTACCAATAGATATTATAGATATATTTTTAAAACTTAGTCAGGCAAGTAAGCTGTAATCAGCTTAAATCAGTGGGACATTAAAAAGTGATTTTACTAAAATATAACGGCACTGGATTGAGACACTAAGTGCAAAATATCTAGTACATACATCTCTTATAGCTCAACTACTCCAAGACAGGAAAAAATTAAGTTAAAGTTAGCATCAAATAGGATGACCACAAACTGGAAATACCTTCCTACTCCCAGTAACCAAAAAATTACATAGAACGAACACTGCAACCTCTTCAGCATTTTCTGTGGCTGTTTCATTGTCAGGAACCAAGAAGTCTGGTTTACAAACACCTAGGATGTCTAGTTATTTTAAACCTCTTTCTCCCAGGAGGTATTCCTGGACACTGGCCACAGAGAACATATTCCTTCAAAACCAATCAAGCGTGTACTGGTTTTTTATTGACACACTTGATACAATTAAGACATCCTATCATCATCATCATCATCATCATCATCTTATCTTTTTAAAAATCTAAAAACAAATTTAAACAAATCCAAAACCTTACTTTAAAAAGCTAATGATCTCCTCCTGCACCTGTCAAAACTGATTTGATGGTACACACACAAAAAAAATTTTAAAAAAATTATAAAAAAAAAAAAAAGAAAGCTAATGAACAGCTCTAACACTTGCCTCATATCCAAATGTAAGGCCCATAATAGTAATGAGAAAGCCAAAAAATGCTTCCAGCTTCCGCAGGCCTGAAAGAGAAAATATAAACATTAACTCACAGGAGGCAATGTCCTGGTAGAGGCACACTGCCCCCAACCAGAGATGGAAGTCCGCACCTTCATGTTAGACACTGATTCCCATTCTCCTTACCATATTTGTCCAAAAAGAGAAATAAAAATGTATCTGCAATGGTGATGAGAACGCCACCCCACAGAGGAACCCTAAATCAGAGATAAGATACAGAAATTAAGGAAAAGAAATAAAATATTGGGAAACTCTTCCCAACAGCCTTCTAGGAACAGACACTTGGAGAAGCTAGGACTTGCCTAAGAAATAATGGCAGGAAGCCATCCTATAATGTGTTTAGAACCTTAGTATCTACTTATAGTCATTCCAGGTTGGATTGAGAGTTTACTAGTTGTCAGGTATTTAGGATACAAAGATGGTAAGTCTGGATCTTAACCCCTAGGACCTAGAAGAATATACCCACATACAAATGCTGCTGGAGGTATCTGCTTTGCAGAGGCTGGAAGGGAGGCTTGGTGTGCTTCCAAACCAAAGGCACATACTTCGAATTCACCAGCTGGGATTTACCATCGGTTCAGCTCTGACTTACTGAACATAACACAACACACACAAATCACATGGGAAGAGACCTCCCATCTTTCCCTAGGAGCAGCTGGTGGATTTGAACTGCCTGCCTTTGGTCAGTAGTGCAACTCCTTACTAACTAGGCCACCAGAGCTCCCTATTTACTACATAAAAATAGGTAAATAAAATACAAATTTCAACTACTGTAAAATATGTATCTAAACAATGGCAACAAGGAAATCGTAGTCTTTGTGCACTGAAGAAGAGGGATGTGATTCCAGAAAAGACCCACAGAAGAAACTAATCTTGTAAACTGAAAATTAGTTAAGTCTTTTGAAATCTAGCAAAACAACTGATTGCTTTCTAGGGGAACATTCTCTCACCTTCCCATAGACAGGAGATTGATGGCAATGGCAGAGCCAATGACTTCTTGCATATCTGACCCAATAATAGCACACTCCACCATCAGCCATAGAATAATTCGCGGGACCTAAACATCAAACAGTAGAAAGATATGGTCAAATTAATCATTTCTAAGTACTTCTTCAGTAGTTTCTAAAATTAACATACATTTTTTTATATATCTAAAACAGTCTCCAGATTACAAAATACCAGATCTTTGTTCCATTTTCCCATTCCTACACAGCAGCCCCTGCACCAGAGGGAACTTTGGTGGTCTACTGAAAAGGAATTGTGCTGCCAACTCAGAGGCATGAGGTTCAAATCCACAAGGTACTCCTTGAGAGAAAGCTGGGCAATCTCCTCTGATATGATTTACCGCCTATGAAAACCTGCATGACAGTCAGACATGGATGGGTTGGTTCTGCCTCAACAGTACCTAACACCACCACTACCACTATAGCTCCAGCTAGAGAAGGAAGATGGGCTGCCAGTGGTGGAGTCTGTGAGCAAGATCAGGGCAGCAGCTGATTCTTTTTCTCCTTATTAAATGTGAGTATCGTTGGATAAAGCCATTCAGGAGCCCTACGAGCATAGCAGGTAAGTGCTGGGCTGCTAACTAAAAGGTCTGAAGCTATCAGTAGGAGAAAGAAAAGAGAGTCTGCTTCAGAAAAGATTAGTCTTGGAAAGTATACGGGCCACTACAGGACTGCTAAGACCAAGAATCAACTCAAATAGAAAGGGTTTGATTCTTACCTGAAAATAATCTCAAAAATTTTTAGGGAGAATAAAGCTGTTGCAAGGTTCAAAAGAAGGAATGACTACAGAAGAGTTCTATTTTGACTCTGGGAAAACAAACATGAAAAATTCAAGAGACCATCCTCAATATGTGAATGAAAACATGAATGGATGGAAAAGGAGAGATATGCAAAGGGCCACAGAATGAAGTTGTCAGAACTGGAAAGGGCGATCCAAGCATAGGTTTTAGTCCTGTGTTAGGAGACAGGAAAAAAATGTTCAAAAGGAAAGACTGAGTCATTTGGGTAATTTTGTGGTTCAAAACATCCAAAAGGAAGCTACAGGGCTATTAGCAAAACAGTATAACCCCCCCAGGGTTAGACAAAAAGGAAAAAGAAGCACTGAATTAAAAGAACCTGCCATATATAGTTTATAGTAAAAAGGAAGAAGAAGTAGGGGACAAAGTAAGTAAAAAAAAAAAGCAACAAACCCAAACCAACACATACTAGTATTGCTAAACAGATGTAAATCAAAGAGTTTAGAAAAACCAACCACCATGAACTAGGCACACTGCTACGTGCCAGAAGATAGTGAATCGTAAATGTTTTCTCAAACAGAATTTTCCTGAGAAAATTTTTTGGAGGAAAGTAACTCTCAAGTTAACCTTTGAATGAGGGGAGAAATTGGGCTTGGCAGCAAGAAACTTCAGAATTTTCCTCGGGACCTTTAGTCCTTGGGGTCACTTACACCCTAGAACTCCACTAAGATATATCCTTAAGTAAAGTAGTTTTCTGATATGAAGGACAAACAAACAAGCCTGAAAATGCAATTCTCACCTTAGGATACTGCCGGTAACAGACTTCAGCAAGATGCAGCCCAGTAACCACTCCCAGTCGGGCTGCAAGGCGCTGGAGCAGGAGCCCCACAATAGTGGCCAACATAAGTACCCAGAGCAACTAGAAAAGAATAAAATTCCTCACAACATTTATTAGATGTCAATGTGAATAAAATCAACACAGTCAGAAAAGAGCTCAGGTCAGAAAACAAATGACCTGACTTCTGTTTACCAAGTTCTGCATACGACCTGCCAGGCTCAGTTTTTCCCATAAGCAAACATGGTAAGTCAATCCTTATTTTGTTTAAGAAAAATCTCATGACCACCTGAGAAAGTGCTTTTCATAAACGGGTCACTGCTTGATAAAGAGCACACCTCTCTGGCAGTTCAAATCCACCTGCAGTCCCAAGGGCAAAAGTTGGCGGTCTCCTCTGTGCAATGTATATACCCTTGGAAGCCCAATGTGAGCCAGTGCTGACTCCATGACAACAATGTATGAGGGGGTCAATGCCAATGAAGTATCTGTAGGCAGTCCCTGAGGAAAGCAGATGAGGGTGAACTGAATATGTGGAAAAGAGGCAAGGACAAGCCTAGATAGTCACCTTAAATCCAGCCACTGCTCCAGACTGCAAGTCTGATTCAATATTTCCTGGATCCAAGTACGCAATACTCATAAGAAATCCTGGTCCTGTGAAAGCCCAGAGTTTTCGAAAGCTAAAACAAGAATACTACACAAGAGAGAAAAAGAAATTAAAGTGAAAATCCCCTCAAATCACTTATTTCATTTATCTGTTATTTTAACACACATGAATCCACAATATAAGTCTCTCAAGAAAAAAAGATTTAGGATGTTGGCTACTGTATGTATCCAAGTTTCATTGCCATCTTAACCACTTCTTACTACTAAGCTCCAACCAAATGAGGGCCTTCTTACCGGCACTTCCCATCACATTCTCATTCTAAAACCAGAATACTGAGTCTAAACATTAACCAAATGGTAAGAAACAACATGAAAAATAAGCAAAATGAAGCAAACCAGGAAACACGGAATTCTTACTTTCCTGACCAAAAATACGTTCACAAGTTAGCACCTTTATTTTCAAAACCTTCATTTTTCTAATAGTTTTTATTCTAATATTTTTTTTTAGCCTCCAAAGACTGCTTGCAAAAATTAAGATCTAAGGCTGTAGATTCTGAATTATCCAGAAGACCTTTCACTGGCTGGTTTCCCCTAGACAATAATGTTCTCCTCTGAGGACTTACCTCCCCCTGGGGAACAGGAACCTTTTCATTAAAGTAGGTGGTAAAGTCATCCTCGTTGTACTCAGACTGTGAAAGAGGGGTGGTGCTGTAAGTAGGACTGACAGCACCAAGACTGGCAGTGTCCCCATGGTCTCCAGAAGTAGTGTCTGAAAAGTTAATATATAGCAATAATTAATTTCTATTAATTTTAAGACTAAGTCTTTATAGTACCTAAAAGAACACGGTAAGACCCAACTGACCAGCTCAAGCAGTTTTTAATATTTAGTTTTCGTTTTTATCAATTTTCAAACAGGCAATACAGTAACATGGCTGAAAATTCAAGTAGTACAGAGGAATAAAGTTAAAACTGCTTATTTGGATCCACAGTAAGTAACTCAGTTCTAGACAGGTTTTAGCACTAATATCACAATGCTTTTCCCGCTTTTACACTTCTAATTCTACTTGGTGCCTTTTAGAAATAATTTCATTTTCCCCGAAAAATACTGAAGGTTAAAGCTCAAAACATAGCATTACTAGACCAGTCCCACTGGTAATCTAAAATTTTAACTTCTACAAGGTAAAAACTAGGACAGGTTAGTGGAGCAATTAGTCATTTCCAACCCATCCATCACAATTAGATAGAACTTACTCAAGGAGTCCTCTGAGGGCATTCTATCTCTGTCAGACTTCAATATTTGTGGAACTTGCAAAGCCTGGACAGTTCGGGCTAAGATCTACAGTGGCAGGAACCCTACCAATTAGGAACCCTTTGCCTCTGACTAATGTCTGCAAGGAAGAGAGGCAGATCACATGGTGCTGGCACCCTCATGATAAGTAGCTCTTCTTAGGCTGAGTGCAGCATATTTTCTGTTACTCATAAATATAGGGAGGGGCTTTCAGAAGAGGCCTGTTGCCAGACCTATACAAAGCCCAGTTTGCCAATGCCATCAAATGACTATTCTGAACTACCCAGCTCAAATCTGTTTCCAAATACCTTTGTAATCTTTAGTAAAAAAAACAACAACCAAATAAAAAAAGAAACCCGCGCACAAAATAAAAAACCCCAAAACAACAAACCACAAATCCAAAAGCTGTTTGTCTACAAGGAGCCAATTCCTATCATTTTCAGTAGTCCTGAAGTAATAAAGAAATAGGAAAGAAACAGAAATTGCAAAGTTTTTAATTTACAAAGAATTAAGAAAGTTAGAAGTTCAGAATTAGGACTCAGAGCATTCAAGAAGTGCTAATCAAATACAGAGTACAAGGTTTTTGTAGTTTAATGGCCCACACATTACAGAAATATTAGGAGGAGTTATGATCAAAGTCTAGAAATACTGTCCTTGCAAGCATTGCTGTTACAGAAAATACTAATCTTGGCTTTCAAAATAAGAAATAAAATATGAGGCAGGTCTCAATGGTCATAAATTTTTTTCCCCCAGTCTAAATTACCAGATGGTACTTCAAAATGGAGGAAAGTGGAGATAGGGACAATATTTTTTGGAATAAATAGAAAGAAAATACAGCAAATTCTTTTCACAGACTTAGATCTAATTTTAAATAAAAATAAGTAATAATGAAGCTGTAAATTACCATCTGGCATCTTCTGCTTGGGACCCAATACCATGGTGGATCCCTGAGGGTCTGCGTTCTTAGAATACGATTCTGGAAAGGAGAAAAACAAATTACTAACAACAAACGACAAATCAGAAAGAGTAGTTTATTACTCCATACAACTGAATTCTAATTATGTGAAAAGAATAATTCTTCCAATTTTGGTAACCCTGAAAATAACTGCAGTTGTCAGAGTATATTTAAAAGATATTTAACAAAAATGGATAGGTATTAATCATGTTTTTGCTCATGAGATTGGGAAACCAAACTGAAGTAAAATGCAACTTTGGGAGGTGGGCAAGTGCTTTTTAATGAACACCCACAGGGAAAGAAGCTGCTGAGCAATCACATAGGCTCTGTCTTTGTTCCGAGCTAGGTTACGGATGTATTCATCACATAGCCAAAACCAAACTGATTTTACTCTGTTTTTAAGCGTTGGTAAGAACAGAGATACAAATATTTTATTTAACAAACAGCTTAAGCTCACAGTCAAATTTTCTGGAAAGGGGGGGAAGCAACACACCAAAATACTGGGAGCAGAGGTCCACCAATTTGTGAGCAGGCTCAAGTTTCCCTAAGGAGACACTTCAGTGACAATTATGTGCCAGACTTATTTTCCAAACCTTCACTTAAGCACTTGGAAGAAACTAAATTTGAGTGGTCTTGCCCCTCTGGAATGTCTATAGGTCAGTGGCATCTACTTCTCTACTATGCATCAGACAACCAGCAGGGGGTTGAGAAAGACTGAGTCCCTGATGCTAAGTTTCCTATAACTGGGGTTGGGGGTTGTTGTAGTTGTTATGTACCGTCAAGTCGTTGCGACTCATAGCAACCCTATGTACAACAGCCCTAAAACTCTGCTCTATCCTGTGCCAATCACGTGACCCCTGACACACCCATTCTGATTACCCCAGTCACTGAATCAATCCACCTCATAGAGGGTCCTCCCCTCCTGCGCTGTCCCTCCACCCTCCCAAGCATCTGTCTCTCCTTACATGTCCAAAGTATGTCAGACGCAGTCCCAGAATCCTTGCCTCCAAGGAGTAGCCTGGTTTAACCCTCTCCAGGAAGAATCTGTTTGTTTTCTTAGCAGTTCATGGTACATTCAATACTCTTCTCTAGCACCACAGCTCAAAGACATCAATTCTCCTATCATTCCTAGTCATTCTCCAACTCTCTGATGCATAACAAGTGATTGCAAAGACCAAAGCCTGTATCAGGCGCACCTTAGTCTCCAGAGAGACACCGTTGCTCTTGAGTACTTTAGAGAGGTCCCTAACAGCAGACTTTCCCATCGAATAAGTTTTTTGATTTCCTGGCTGCTGGTGCCAAGAGTGTTGACCGTGGAGCCGAGCAAACGGAAGCTGTGAACAATCTCAATCTCTTCACCATCCATCCTGATGCTACCAGTTGTCCAGTGGTGAGAATCTTTGTCTTCTTGACATTGAGCCTCAGTCCATACTGAAGGCTGCAGTCCTTGACCCTCTGTAGCAAGTGCATGAGGTCCTCCTCGGCTTCAGCAAGCAGGGTTGTGTCATCTGCATAACGCAGATTGTTGATAAATCGTCCACCAATCTTGACCCCACATTTCTCCTCATAGAGCCCAGCCTCCTGGATAATTTGTTCTGCATATAGGTTGAAAAGGTATGGAGACAGGACACATCCCTGGCGTACACCCTTCCCAATTTTGAACCATGTGGTGTTACCGTGCTCTGTTCTGACGACTGCCTCTTGGTCCAAGTACAGGTTTCGCATTAGCACGATTAAATGTTCTGGGATTCCCATTCTTCTCAGAGTCAGCCACAGTCTGTTATGATCCACACAGTCAAACACCTTTGCATAATCAATGAAACACAGATAGACATTCTTCTGGTATTCCCTGCTTTCAACTAAGATCCATTTAACATCAGCTACAATATCCCTAGTACCACGACCCCTTCTAAACCCAGCCTGGACTTCTGGCAATTCTCTGCTGATGTGCTGTTCCAGTCTTTGAATAATCTTCAGTAGAATCTTGTTTGCATGTGAAATCAATGATATTGTTCTGTAGTTTCCACACTCAGCTGGGTCACCCTTCTTTGGAATGGGAACAAATATAGATCTCTTCCAGTCAGTTGGCCAAGTGGTTGTTCTCCAGATTTCTTGGCACAACTTGGTGAGCACATCCAGGGCAGCATCTGTTAGCTGAAATACGTCAATTGGTATACCATCTATTCCTGGGGCCTTATTTTTTGCTATTTCCTTCAAAGCAGCTTCAACTTCTTCCTTCATCACCATAGGCTCTTGCTCATGTTATTTCATTAAATTCTTCTGTATCTGCCAATTCCTTTTGCTACAATGACTCAGTATATTCCTTCCATTTTCTTTTAATACTTCCCGGACCATTTAATATTCTACCTAAAGCATCCTTGATTATAGCAACTCTAGGTTTGAATTTGTTCTTCAGTTGTTTGAGCTTAAGAAATGCTGAACGAGTTTGGCCCTTTTGATTCTGGATTTGGTAGAAGTGAATGGGTTGGGGGTAGGTGGGTAAATACATCTGGGGAGAGGGTGGTAAGGGCATGGCAAACTCTTTTGGCTACAGAATTATATTTCCAATTTGCCAATAAGTTTGATCTTTAAAAAAAAAAATCTATTGATCATGGAACCTACTCAATTGATTCTTTAGAAGGAGGAAGATGAATACTGACAATGCTCCTTAAATTCTAGTCATCAATTCACTTTCTCACTCATCTCTTTAACTGCTTAAAGTAGTCTTTTTTCATTATTGGGCTTTTGTTTCTCTTAGCAGAACAGTTCTCCACTTTCTCTTACATTATCTACCAATGTATTCTATCCCTATCTTTTAAGTTTTTAAATTTCAGTGCTAGTGGATTACCCAATCTGCCTTTTCTTTCCATTGTACATGTAACTCTTACCACATGACTGGATAACTGTTACTGTATCAAGTCGGAATGACTCATAGCTGACCCTTAAGTAGGTTTTCAGAGGATGTAAACCGCATGAGAAGACTAGCCCATCCCTCTCATGTGAAGCAGCTTGTGGATTCGAACCTTGTGTCTTTGAGACTGCAGTGCAATTTCTTACCACTAGGCCACTAGAGTGTCCTTATATGACTAGGTAGGACTGGGAGAATATTAAATGCTCATGGCCAACCAAGGGAACTGGACCGCTTCCTAATATTGTAAATAAGGTAAACAGCACTTTTAGGGTGGAAACATGCAAATATGTTATGGGACACTAATGACGACACTGGTCAATTTTACCATCCTCCTACACTCAAATTAAGCAAGTAAGTAGGTAGATGTCCAACTCTGCCACCCCCATATCTGTCACAATGTTTTCAGAGAGTTCTGTCTGTTAAGGTGTAAAACATACCATCATACTTTCTGACCACTCAAAGTAGCACTTTGGAATCTAATCACAGGACACTGCCTTGTTCTCACTTAGAATCTATTTATTATTGCATTATATATAAGTCTAATAAATCAGTTATGAAATTATCTAACCCATAACAAATGAGAAACCACAAGTCAGATTTCCTTACAGGAAAAAGGGAAATTGACTGCTAAAGAATCAGAAAAATGAGAAAAAATTACATCAATCATGGACCATTTTGGTAGGATGGCAAAGAGCCCTTATACTTCAATCAGCTCTGAGACCACTATTGCCAAGAGTACAATAACTTGTATTTCATTAGATGGTCCTGAATCATCAAGATGTACAGAAAGTAAACTAGATTCATTTTTGTAATGATTGCTCACATCCCATTAAAGAAGACACAGAAGTGCAATACATTTGAAGAAGATTTCCATCCAAAATTACTTGTCATACTTGGGATATTTCTACGTAGGTGTTTGTATGTGTTCTAAATATGTCCATGAATATAGTACTGCATATATGGCACAATATTATGGACACTTCTTAGCTATCAACAAACCCCTTGAGAATGAGTTGCTGTGCCTTAGGGCTCAAGATCATAGTCTTAAATAATTTAAAAATCAATTGGCTTAACACTTCACAATGGCAAGAGTCTACATCCTACTTTGGTTAGTAGTTGAGTTGAGTGTTAAACACTCTTTTGTCCAAATACTGTAAAGAAGAGTGAAGAAAAAAATAAAAGTAAATTATTAGTCCAAAGGACCAATACCTTGTACAAACCCAAATCTCCATGATCCTGAGACCAGGAGAACTAGATGGAACCCACTTATCACTTCTTACTCCTCTGAAAGGGATCACAGGAGGAGGACCCAGACAGAGTGGAAGAAAAATGTGGACTAAAACTCAAAATAATAGAAAAGATCAGGCTTATTAGTCTAGTAAAGACTGGCAGAACCCTTAGATACTCTTCAGGCCAAAACTGAACTCATCCCAAGACTGTAAGGTGAATAAAAACATCAAAGATGTAAGGCCCTCCTGAGAACAATCAACCATTTGGAATCAAAAGGGAGCACATGCCCAGAGAAAGGTCCAGAAAGTAGGAAAGGATAGGAAAGAAGGACCAATAAAACCATAAACACAAGGAGGAAACAGGAGGAGTGCTATTACAGATTGGGGGACTGCAATCAGTGTCCCCAAACAGTGTAAGAACTTTTACACAGAAAATGAACATGCTAGGAAAACTCTCAGCCAAATCTAAGTGAAAACATATCAAAAGTTATACTTAAAATAATTTTAGATAGAGTTCATGATAAAAGCTTTAATAATTAATAATTATTAGTAGCCTAAGAGATTACTCTTTTACCAATTAATTTTACCAATTTACTAATTAAGTTAAAAGGAGTCTGATCTTCCCTCTGAAATTTCCTGAATGTATTATTCTTCAGGGAAAACCAGATTAGATTCCAATGTCCTCAAAGATTTTCATCAAAATCCATAAGCTCCATTGTATGTAGTGTCTACAGAATATAACTGGGGCAGGGAAGAGAGAGAGCCTGTGTGCATAGTGTTTAAGTCTGCATGAAAATTTATGACTCATGTGGAAGCAGTCAGTTAATATAAAAAAAGTTTTGCTCTCCAGGATCACATTCAGGCATTTTAAGT